ATTGTATATTCACTTGTTTACTAAAATTTGCATGTATATACATGTGTATATATATGTATGTATGTATTTATTTACATAAGCGTGGGTGAATGTATACAAGCACAATTCGATAGAGTTGCTCATATTATTAATAAATGTTAGAAATCATTATATTAAATATTACTATCACTGCCACTATTAACAATACTATTATCGTTATTATTATTATTACTATGAAGCTGTGGTCGTTTGTACATCTAATCAAACTGTATAATATCTAATTTTAAAAACAAATAAACAAACAAAGCATCTACCCCGTCAGATCCATACACACACACGCGCGCGCAAAGAGTGAAACAGTCATGTTTACAGATTAGTTAAATTGTGACAAAAAAACTGAGTGTTAATGATTTACAGTTTTAAAGTCAAGGACAATATTTGCAAATGTACATATACATTGCAGTATCGATTGTACATGATCAATGTGTAGCACACTTTTTCTTGTTCAAATTAATAAATACTTGAAATTCTCGTGTCAACTTAATAATTTGAATGTATTCAGTCGCTTATAAGCTGCATTTCATTCAGTTAACTGGGTTCTTAATCATATAAATGAATTCGTATAACTGATGAATAGAAGGATTTATGTATTATATGTCTACCTATAACTGTTTTTACATATAATTATCAAAGTGAAAGTATTAGGTAATTTTATTTAAATGGTAACATGAACGTTGTTTGCCCAATGCTCAATCATGAAGTCCAATTGATTCGTATGATAATGGTGTTAAACTTTATAATATAAATTGACATTTAATAAAAACGTTTTAATACTTTAGAATTGAAAAATAAGCGAATAATACTACCTAACAAACTTCGGTTTTTCATCAAGTATACTAGTTAAATGAATCATTTATTTAACTGCTTCAATTCCATTATTTAAGGTTTCATTCTATTTGTTTCATAACTTGAAATGTATCTCATGCTTGTTGTTACTCACTAACAATATACGTTCGTATCCTTGAGAAAACTGCATACCCGGTTAACGGTCTGAACTCGTTTTACTCTGTTTTAGAATCAATGGTATTTAATTCCAAACTTTAAACATTAGAGTAGTAAATATCTAGTTCATTTTTATTTGTATCTATGAATTTTACATTCTACACTATTCGTTTTCGTACAAATTGCTATCAGATCAATAGTCTTACGACTTAGCTAAACTTATCTACTCACAGTTGTTCGTTTGGCGTCAATATTGCATATACAGTGGCTACACAAAACATGGATAATATTCAGAGGATAAATATTTAAATGATTTAAAAATTTAAATATAATTCATATCAAATTGAATATCTTTAATGCAATGGCACTACTCCATAGTATTTCTTTTTGTATAAGTAATCATTCTAGAAGAGCTTCCGAACTACTTTCTACTCGTATTTCCGTCAATCGTCTACTATGTAAAACGGTGGCAACTACACTATTTACTGTTTTAATTTCAGTAAACATATTACTTTCTAATTAGAATATTGTATTCTTTTCTTAATTATTTCACATTTCTCTTTTGTTGTTATCTGCTTGTTTATGCATCTGTATATGTACATATGACGTAGAAAACAGGTTTATTATTGTTGTTATTATTTCTCCATGGTTGTTACTACTGCTTGTTATGACTAGAATAATAATAATAAATCATACATAATGAATGGTCTCTCTTAACCAGATAGGCATAAATGGTTAATATATGTATATTCAGTTATTTATTTATCTGTTTATTTATTTATTTACTCTCTTCTCTTTAATCTATCCACCTACCTATTTATCTACTCATCTTTTTACTTGTAAACAACTTTATAAACCCAGTAAAATGTTAAACAATGTTAAGTATATATATATATATATCCTGTGTTCGGACTGGAACATGATAAATTTATTAGTATTATTACGTTTGTCTACTTATATATATATATATATATATGTTGTGTGTGTGGTGACATGTGAGTGTGATGACAAATTGGTGTTGCCTGTTTCAACATGTTTAATTCCTTTATAATTTCATCCATAAAGCATAATGAACTTGGGTAGTTGCTATTTCTTCTGTTATTATCATTAGTCTTGTCATTGTCATCACCATCATTAACGGTATCAATCAATAAATCCTTTTTCTTCTCATCGTTGTTTTGTTAATTTGAAGTGAATGTTATTACTTGGGTTTCCGGTTTTTTTTTCACATTCTTAAAAATTCACATTGATGATATATCTGTAAAACATGCACTTTATTGTATTCTCGTTTCAAAGGCTTTTATTGCGGAACAATTAATTACACCCGATAAATTTATTTGATTATCATTATTTTACAGAGAAAAAACATAAAGACAAAACAAACAGAAACATACATAACGATGTTTCTTTATGGTGTTGAAATTTCTTCCAAAGAAATTAGTCATACTGTTAACTTGATAAACTGGATTGGACTGAAAGAAGCACTGGAGATTGGAAAATAACTATTCAGTATATTGATAACTCCTTGCCTACTTTAAAGATAGTCCACTTAATATATACCTTAGTAGTAATCATTTTGTTTCACATAAAATGGGAACATTTTCCCATTATAATATTAAGTAATGTCATTTTGAAAAATTATAATTAAAGAATGTGAAACTGTTGTTGTATCACAGTTTAAATATTCCTTAATATTATACGTGCTTAATTGAATACACCATACAAATGAATGTATGTACTGTTGAGGAGCCCTGTTATGGGACAAAATAACAATCCATTACTTCCTGGTTCTAATTGGTTGTCTAATTCAAGTCGGTTCGTAATCTCAATAACAATCGACTGCACAAATCCCTTTATTGATCTTTAATTTTTCCCACTAAACAATTATTCATGATTTAGGTTTGTCAGCGTATTAGTTGGAAAAAACCCAATTAATCTCCGTATTATCCGTGTTCATTTCTCTATCAGAATTGCTCTCTTTTGGGTAATATGAGTAATAGTAATAATTATTATATTTTCTATCACTTTTTTGGTACTAGACACATATTTCTAGGAGTAGTAGTCGTTCAACATTGTGAATTCACAGGAGTAAATGATGTTAACTGCTAAGTACCAGCTAAGTGATATGAAGTTAACGCTCTCCTAGTAATGCCTAAATATTTTCCATTTAATTCCTTGTGGTATAGTTGGTGTGCACTATTGACAAGAAGACTCATGTATGAATAAAATAACCATCCAACATTTATTGGTTCTTAATTATTATCTAATCAAAATCACTCAGTCTGTGATAAAAACCATTTTTTTAACTATAAAACAGTCCTGTCAGTATAGTTGAAGAATCTTTTGTCATTTTACTGTAAATAGCTTGTTATCCAAATGGTCAATTTTTCATATTTGCATGAAATTAAGTTCATATTAAAAATGTAATACATTCGGATGAGCTTCTAAAGTGTGAATTTAGAATAAGTGAAAATGTTCTCATATCTATTATATAACAATTAACATAGTCTGGAAGAATACTTACACATTTAATATGCTTTCATTTTAATATAATCATTACTTTTGTACTTTCATTACTAAACTATTGTAAATATGTGCAGGTATGTTTAAGTGAATGCGTACAATCTAATGGATATCAGTGTCATATACAAACACACAAACCTATTAGAGTTTGACCTACAAATTTTTAACCTGTCTGATAATATGTCCACCATCTCAATATGTCTATTACTCAATTATATGTATTCTAGGTATGATAACAGTAATTTATACGTTGAATAGATGATTATCGAAGTTGAAATTTCTTAAGTCTAACTACCATTTCCAAACTCTCTCTGTTATCGTAAATATTATTACTACTATTTCTTAAAATCTAATTTTCGGTCCCACAATAGGACGAAACTGCCGTCCAGTGCTTCCAAGTTTTCCATGGTGGCCTAGCTTCAATTGACTCATAATCTCAACTATTAAATATGGTTCATTTTAAAGCTAGTTTTCAGAATCCATGGATAGCGTTTCATCTTCACACTATGAATACAGTAGTGCATATTTTTAGATCTTATCTCTCAGTGATATGAGATATGAAAAAAGTAGTTTACTTTAAAATAAAGATTAGATAATTTAAAACTCTAACCTCGTATAGTGTACAGAATAGAAGACTATCGAAAATTACCTTGTAATAGTATTAAACTCTTTTTATTTACAAGGGTTTCCATAATTCCTAAGAATCTTATATTAAGACTATTTCTTATCTATTCCTTAATATTTTAAAACTAGATTGGGTAGTGAATTTATGGAATATATTTTATCAGCATGGGGATTTGTGAAGATCGTAATATTTTCACAGTTGAAGTCACGAGTCGATCTAAGCTAGACCACCATTGAAAATATGGAAGCGCTGGACTGCTGAGGAGTCCCGTACTAGCACGAAACGGCCGTCCAATGTTTCCAGGCTTTCAATAGTGGTCTAGTTTAGATCGACTTGTGATTTAAACTGTGAGAACACATTTTGATCTAGGATTTTGTTAAAATTGTTTAGCCATGAATAAGTTTCTATCGTATGCATATGTTTTTCTGAAGTGAATGTAATCTAGTCTGATCATCTTAATTGAACTATATTTCTTCATATTTATTTAATTTATTCATAATCTGATCCTCTTTCCTTTATTTATTCAAATTTCCATCATTTCTCTTTGTATTTAAGGATTTCTGACTTCAATAGTGTACTGGGTTTACATTCTATCGTATAGGTAAATAAAGGCTAAAGATATAAGCTTTGTATTTGAGTACTAAATACTTCTGCCATATACCGTCAGTATAAAATATCTGTTAAAATTACTATATGCAGTATAATATCAATGCTCTATAATGATCGGTAACACATCTATTTATCATAACCAGTCAGATTATTTTCAATTTCTAAGGCTTTGTTAGTGAATCAATTAAATTTTTTCGCACAACATATTTGTAGTCGGTAACAACGTTTATTCAACTGTTTGTTATCTCCTTTTTCTATTTAGGGTTTCTTTCGTCGAAGTATTCAAAAACAAATTGAATATAAATGTTTAAGAGATGGAAAATGTCTTGTAATACGTTTAAATCGTAATCGTTGTCAATATTGCCGTTTTCGTAAATGTCTTGCTGCTGGTATGTCAAAAGATAGTGTACGATATGGTCGAATGCCAAGACGAACACGTGGTTCTGACTGTGGAAGAGATGGTTCAGATCAGCTAATGTCAATGCAGCATAATCCATCTACAAATTCAATGAGAATTGATTCAACTATTGGTAATGGTAGTGGACACGTTTCCGCTTTTATTCCACCACCTTCATGTACATCAGAATTATCAGGTAATTCAGCAGTAGTGGGAGCGGCAGCGTCAACGACAACAACAACTACAAATACGACTACTGGTCGTTATGGTGTATGTAGTAGACCAGGGAATGATCATCTTGGTTTATATGAAACTATACTAACTATAAGTCAAGCTTATCAAAATTTCTCTCCATATACTGATGAAAAGATTAAAGTTATGCGATGCAGACCAATCACTTTGGTAAGAATGTTCTCTTATATATATTTCAGATATGTATGTATAATTATCAATAAATTTAATTGTATTTTCATTTATTCATAATTGACTTTCCATTTCAAAATCAACATTAAAATGTATATTTATTCAACTAATATGTCCTAAATAGATTCCATTACTAACTAATATTTAAAATTTAATATTCTCAATTGTCATATTTATAAATGGCTTGGTTTAATACACATTGTCAATGAAGACATACTGTAATAAATGGGGTGTACCCCATGTTATATTATGAACGGAAGAAACGATAACGTCATGAAGGTTATAGTCGTTTAGGTGAAACATTATAATATTTTGAAAAGAAACACTTTTTTTAAAAATATGATCAATCCTTACTTGTTTGTTTAAGAAATGTTTAGTTCTGAATAAATATTGTTTTTCACAGTTGAAATCACAAGTCGATCTAAGCTAGACCATTATTAAAGACCTGGAAGTACTGGATGGCCGTTTTGTCTTAGTATGTGACTCCTCAGCAGTGCCTCACGATCCCGCATGCGGGACTCGAAAAATTTTAATATATTTAGGAAAATGTTATTCTTTTAGTGATGGACTGTTCTGATTATTCCAAGGAAAATTTTTTTAATTCGAAAATTACTGAATATTGGAACTAAAAAGAAGAATAGTTATTTTTACAGTTTGATTAATTAATTTTAGACAATAGTTTGAGATCATTGGCTTATTCAACCACTTCATAATTTAGTGATCTATATTAATTGAAAGTTTTAAGTAAGAACTAAATAACTGTACTATGTCCTCCTCTCTTTTGCGTTCATTACGATCTAAATCTTCAGTAGCTAGATTCTTAAAACTAATTGCTTTTTAAATTCGATCTGGAGAATTATTCATCACTCATGTTATTAGAGTTCTGTATGAAACGGCAGCTTCTTCGTTAAAGAAACTTCAAATTTTAGTCAGTACACATATAACTGAAGTTCGATCTCAACTTGATCTACTTCTGTTTAGATAGCTGTACAGTATAGCATTATCTCTCTATCTATTAGTAGTTGTATAGTTTAAAGTTGAGTACATGTTTTTTTTATTTATCAAACAAGTTACATCACTTCACTTAGTATTTTTTGTTTGAATCTTTCCATTGATGTTTAGGACTGCAACTAGTCAGTCTCTAATTGGCATATGTGCATACTGTGCGTATTCCCTCGATATAGCTTTAATTCACAAGCATGATAAGCAGAGATGGATAATGGCCAGCAGTGGAATCCAGGACGCTCGTTTCGTTTTATATGAGACCCGTCAGCTGGATGTACCTGCATCTCAGAGTTGACTGACCAGTTGCAGTCCTAAACATCAATCGGAAGATTCAAACAAGCAATACTGAGTGAATTTAAACTTCACCCCATCGCACAAGCAAGTGGCTGTCAAGACTCAATAGCTAAATGGATAACACGATTGAGTTTGATGCGGACGGTACTGGGTTCGAGTCCCAGATTGAGCATCAACTCTGAGATGCAGGTACATCCAGCCGACGAGTCCAAATAGGACGAAACGCGCTTTATGGATTCCACTGCTAGTCACTATCCATCTTTGCTTACATCACTGTTTTAAGAAGACTATACTAAAGTAAATTGAAGGAGAAAATACTCATTTTCAAAAAATCTCACTGTTTTCATAATCGTTTTAATCATAATCTTTTTTTCATATCAATTAGTATTTCCAAGTTGTTTTTATTCTCCTGTAAAAATTGTAGAGAAATTATTAAAATTCGCCATAATCTTTGATAGTCTTACACAGTTTTGTCTTTAAAAAAGTTTTCTTTCTTTGTCTATTCGAAAAACAGGATTCATAATCTTAGTTTTTTTAATTACCCCTATAGTGTCTAGGGTGTATTGTTTGAGTTTGATAATTTTATACTTCAACTGTGAATAGTAGTGTTTATTTCTTTTGTATGTACAAATCAGTAGGTGTTTCAAATCTTTAATTGTTTTGTTATGATAAGATTATCTCACCATCATCACCTTGACATACATATTGGCATACACGCGAGAAAGAATATAACAGCATGAAAATCTAATCATTCTCCTTTGTTTTCTTTCTGTTCAAAAATTATACTCTTGTTACCTTATAGCAACTGAAATACACTTTTCCAATAAATAATACATTTCTTTTTGAGTGTTGTATATGGGGATTTTCAGTAACTAACTTGGAGTTTATACGTCCAGCTGCTCAATTTTCAATATGTATGACGTACTTTGAATGCATATATTAATTTACTGAAAGTTACAATCAATATTGCATTTAGAAATACACAACTTAATGTGTTCATCGAGAAGATTAATTGAAATATTCAGGTGAATAGGTTCAACTAGAATTTAATAACTGATTCGTTCACCATGTTTTCCAATGAAAATTTGATACCTAAAAGATATCGTTGAATAATTTGAAGTACATTGTGATGATACAGTTTTCTGAATCTTTTACCATACTTTATTCTCTACACTATCCTTATAATATGTTCATTTACTGATCTTGAAGTCTATATTGACCTTCAATTCATTCGGTTGACTTTAAGAGTGTAACTGAGAAAGTTAGTTAGTTTCAATATTTTCCGTCTAATGTTATAGATGATATATGCGTAAAATAAACATATTATTATGTTTCGTAATTTGCATCATGAACCAAATTTAGTTGGATAACCATTGAAAACCATTATAAGCATCGGACAATCATTTCGTTCTGGCAAGAGAAAATGGGCATTCATAAACGCACGAATAACCAAACCTAAGATATTCAAACCTTATCACGTTCCCAATTGCCTTTAGATCATTGAGTTACTGTCTAATGGTAACTGTTTAAAGTCTTTATAAATAAACGATAAGTGATAATGTGACAGTTTAATGGTTTAGTCATCCAATACTTACAAAGTGAAATTCTATTGCACCCACACTAACAGCTTATCAATATTGTACTTGATCAATAACACAATTAGACATTTGTAATTATTAAATAACATTTCAGAGAGTTTTTTTTCCTTTTTTTCCTGGTTAACATGGAAGTAGGTAGAAAAAACTACTGCAGCAATTAGACTAACGTATATAATCTATTCATAAACTATAAGATCCAATCATGTTAAAAGATGTAAACATTCTAGTTGGTGTGGAGGTATTCATTACTTATTTACCTCTTAGTCTTGAACTTATTTCTCCCAATACTCTTCATTCCTTCTGAACTGTGATTCTCATATTTAATCTTCCACTATTATTATTATTATTATTTCTGCGTATTTACCTATCATTATGTTAGTGTTCTGTTGTTATGTTGAGGTGAAATGTAAATTGAACCGTTACATATTTATAATAAGTTATATGTTGTTTTGGAACTGGTTACTACTAACGTCTAAATAGATTGACAATGATGTACACTTATTACTTAAATTTATTCCCACTTATATAAATTAAGCATACTCTATATTTAGAAGTATTGCAACTAGTCACTTAAGGATTGTTATCAGTAATAATAAAGACGTATATAATTGTTTAACACCCCTCGTCCTTACGGAGTAATTAAACAGTTGCTTTTAATATCGTCACTGAGGCGTTTTCACTGGTTATTTTCAATACTAAGTAATGTCATTCTGTGCACTGTCCGGTATTTTTAAAGGCTTTGAATTAATTGAAAAAACTTTCAAGTCTCTGAAAACTGAGTTATATTCGGACTGATTGATTGTTTTTCGACTTTTCTATTATAATTGGTCAGTTACTAAGGCGTGAAGCGTCATATTTGTCTAGTCTTCTAATTCTACTGACTGAGTTCCGTCAGTCAAGTTGCAACGTAGCCATTACCCTAGGTGAAACTCAACATCATGTGAACCATGTTTTGATGTTAGGTGGTTGAAGGTAGTCCATAGGAAACCTTGGATTTGGATTTCATACCAATGTTCATTCATCTCCAAGGCTTAACGGTAATATTGAGGGTACTAGTTGTCACAGTAGGATTCGAACTCGCGTCATCCTGCTTCACTGTTTGAGACTTTAACACTGAACTTCCCAGACCTAGAATCCCAATGAACATCACTTCCTTCAAAATTGTAGGTACACCTTACTGACGAGTGCTAAACAGTACTTAGGTGCAGGGTATCCTATCGACTACTTTCAACCATCTAACATTCTATCTATTCATCAAAATCGACTGAGTTCTGTTTTTTTCTCCCTCTCACAGTTTTGATTAACTGGACAATCATATACAAATATGATGTTTCATCATTCTATTAGTTTTTTTTGTACACTGCTGAATTTAACTCCCAGTTTACGACATAAAGTTTCGCTAGTTTTTTTTGGTTAAAAACTTAACGGAAGAAAAATTACCAACAATGTATTTTACGTTTTAATTTTTCACTTTTCGCTTAATATTTTCTGTTTATTTCAGTTTATTTTGAGATGTTTTGTTTATCGGATGTAAAAACCCTTTAGCTGAAACTACTATTCTGTGCATTGTGTATGTCAGAACTTGATTATGTATTGTATTTATATGTGAGAGTATGTTTCTTCTTACAATTTCTCTTTCTCCCATTCACTCATCTACTTCGTTTCATTTTATTCATTCACTAATATGTATACATATATGTGAATATTTCAATTTATTTTCTAAATAACCTTATTTTATTCCACTAGGAGAAATATGCCATTTGGGTTTTTAAACGACACGTAACGTGAAAATTCTGTTATGCCTTTATTTTCATGCGTCCTTGTTTGACCCCAACATGACCTTGTGTAATAGTTGGCCCAGTCTTATATTTATTATTATTTTTTAATTCTGCCCTCTGAACTTACCTATAATTATGATGATGTTGGGGATGATGAATGTGATTTTAATAATTCCTACTCCCCATAGCATCTAACTCTCTGATGGGCATTCAATACTATACGAAAATAAACCAATCAAATTGTATTTGACTAGTAGGAGAGTTTTGTAGACCAGACTTTGTAATAAGATTTTCTTTTAGTTAC